TTCTCAATCTCACATGCTGACGTACAAATAATTTCCAGACCTCAGAGAAATTCGGTATTTTGTAATCTCCACAAATGTTCTTATGGGAAATGATTCCCTGCAGGATGGTTTGGGCCGTCTGACTGCCCCATCAACCCAGCTACAATCAAATCTACAAAGATTTGATTTTTTTAATTTATTTTTTTAACATATACCAGGCTGGTTTCACTGTACAAGGTATGGTTGTGTTTAGGGATGAGCACAACCTGGAATGAGGCATTTTATCCACCTCATTTTGTCTGAAGTCAGCACTTTTGGGCCATATGTTCAACTAAAGCCAAAACAATCAGAAGTTACTTTTAATCATTCCACATTATTACTGCCTTGATTACAATGTCTCCATTTCATATGTGGTAAAAGCCACATAAAGCAGGCTGCATATATAAGTATATATTAGGAGAGAGGCTTTTAATGGAATAACCAATGAATGGGAAGAGACACAGATTTCCCTGTGCCCTCCTAATTGATCATGCAGACAGCATGTCTTGATCTTCAACTTGAATTAATTCCCCTTTATTTCCTATTCCAACAAGCAATAACAGGCCCAAAGCCAGGCAGGGCAGAGGGAACAGCAGGGGGAGAGGCTGAAAACTGCAGGGTAACTCCTGGTGTTCTCTGGGCTTGACTCCTCCTCCAGAGCAGAGGGAGCACAAGGGGAATACCAGGGTGAAACCTGCAGGAACTTGTCTGTGACCACGTACAACGAGAGCAGTGGGGACCAGCAGCCCCTGGGCTGCTCCTGAGGGGCACCAGGCACGGCCACGCTCAGGTTTGGGGAAACCACCCCCTGCTTTGCTGCCTACTTACGTTTCTCCTCCTGCCTGCACTTTGATGCAGTGGGGCAGAGGTAGCCAGGAAGTCCCTGCCACATCCACCTTGCTCTCCAGCAGGGATGGGGGGGAAGATGTCTTGACCACACAGCAAAGTGGCAATCCAGAGGTCTGCCTCTAGATTCATCAGCAGATGAATGAACAAATTAATTAGCAGATGAATTGTGGAGATCCAAGTGACAGGAGTGAAAGGCATTTATAGATTTACTCCCAAGCACAACTAATATTTGGCACTGTGAACCCCTATTATCCTTTCTCGCTGCTCTCCAGTTTTCGGGCAGCCTGGACTGACCAAACAGGTTCATCTGCAGCTTCTTTTCCACCCTCTTACAATAAAGAACATTCTCCCAAATGTTTAATCAGCTCATGATATGCAAGAAAACAACTCCCCATAAAACCTGAGCTTTTTCATCAGTGCCCAGGTAAAGGCTGAGGTAAGAAAAGGAAATACGCAGACAAGCAGCAGTAATTTCAGAAAATTTTGGGAGCACCACTGACTACACTAAGTAAAAGTGAAATGTGCACTAAAAGCTACAAAATTCTTCACAGTGAGGGTGGTGAGGCACAGGTTGTCCCACCCCTGGAAGTGTTCAAGACCAAGTTGGACAGGGCTTGGAGCAGCCTGGGCTAGTGGAAGGTGTCCCTGCCCATGGCAGAGGGTGGAACGAGATGAGCTTTGAGGTCCCTTCCAATCCATACTGTTCTGGGACTCCATGAAAACGTCTCACCTTTTTCTCACATCTCCCCACATTCCCTGGTCACATCTGCAGTGAGAGATGTAGAAACACACTTCTATAATAATAGAATAATAAATAAACAGGTATAATAATAAAGTAACTGGTACAGATCTGCAGACTGAGACAGGTCAGCATTATTAACCCAGGACTTCGAGGTTTCACCCCGAAACAGAGAAGGTGAATTGCAATCACAAACTCCACAGCCCTTACAGCTAGTTATTTGCCCATACAGAATTCTTTCCAAAAAAATCCTATTGGGTAATTTAAAATAGCCTGAAATAAATCTCCAGTTGCACCAACCTCCAAAATCTTGGGAACATCCCCAGCACGTCCAAGGCTCGTTCCTCATTCCTAGTCAAAACCAGAGAGATTTAGAGCACATTTACAAAGATAAAGCTGGCACAGACCACCACTGCCCTCTCCTGCAGCCCAGCCCCAAGTGTGACATCATCTCCAGGGGATATTATGGAAACCAGTAGTTTCCTAATTAAAACACACACGACCTCCCCCCACCCCCAAATACCTTGTGCCTTTGATAATCCTCCTCCCCAACCCCATCCAACTGTTCCCCTGCAGACCTGGCTTATGGCACAAGGTTTTCCCAACAGCCCTTTGGACCTGCACATCCAAAGTTTCCAGTTCTGAAAACTTTAGCTCTTAATGTGCATTTAAAAAAAAACAAACAACACATTGCTTAAATCCTAGTTTAAACATCAGTAAACAACCACCGGATTTACGGTGTATTGGGGGGGTTCCTGTGGGTGTTGGGGTTTTCTTTTACATAATCACACACAGACAAAGCAAATGATCAAAAGGCTGCAAAATCCTCATTTTGCAACAATGGGAGGAGCTTAATCCAGAAAATAAAAATTGTGGCTATGTGTCCACATCAATGTTGCCACATATTTTTTATTTCCCCTTGAGTAATCCACTGCAGAAGTCAGATTTTACCAACAAGTGCATTCGTAACATCCTCCGTGAAAATTTTAAAAATTCCTACCATCTGAACACTTCCAAGTCATACTAAGAGTGGATTTCAACACTTGATTTTTAAACTGGAAATGACTCATTGCCATATCTTTAAAAATTAGTAACACTTGTAACCTCTAGCAAGTAATGTATTAATTACTGATCACCTGCAACTTTATCTGGAATATTCAGGCAAACCTACACTATCAGAAATGCAGCTTTACACAATGCCCTGGAGATACAGGTAAATAAATACCCAACACAGCCACGAGAATAATTAAAAACAGGGTTTCTGCAATGCAGAAAACTACTTCAACCAGGGTGCAGGAACAAGACGTGAATAACCAGCACAGAAGAGTCATTTCAAAATCTGATTTCCCTCCTGTTTGGAACAACCCCCCACTCCCCTCAGATTTCCAAATCAAAGCAGAATGCTCAATGCTCCATGTCTCACCAGTGTGGCTCCAGGGCAATTCCTGCATTGGGAAACCTTGGGAGCACCAGCCCTTGGGCAGCCCCAGCTCCAGGGCACCCTGCCCAGTGAGCAGCCAGGAACTGAGGTTTTCCCTGCAACCAGCCAAAATCCAAGTGAGCTCTGGACAGAAAATTGTTTCAGAATGGGTGGAATGTCACCAAAATCAGGAACAGTGTCTCAGTCATGATTTGTATATCAGAAAACACTAATAAAACCTGATTAGCTATGAAAAAAACCCAATACATTTGGATATACAAAACAACTGACAAAGCATCAATTAACTTTCCCAGCATCAGGATTGCAATAGTGATAAAATTAACCCTGCCTGAACATTCCAGAAAGAGAGCATCCATCTCATAAGCACCCACCTTTGAGCAGGGAAAACAGGACCATCCCAAAGTGCTACTGGGCTGGACACTCCCACCTACAGCTGGAGGCCTGGGCAGGAAGCTCCTTCCTGGATGGAATGGTAACAGCATTGCCAGGAGTGATCCACAGGCAGGAAAATCCCGAGCTCTTCACCACCCCAGGAGAGGGAAGATGAGCCAGGGCAAACCAGGAGGGCTTTCAACAGGTCTGCTGCTCATCCAACACATTTTTTTACCAAAAGTTTTCCATGAAAATGTCAACTGGCTAAAGGAGGGAATAGTTTAGTTGAAGATAAACCACCACCTACCTCAGAAACAACTGTGGGAGGCTTTCAGGAGGATACAGAAGGATTCCATTCCCTCTCCTGGCTGGCCAGGGTTCAGCTCAGTCCCAAGGGACTGCCACATCCCTTGGGATGACTGATGTCCTCCTCCTTCCCCTCAACATTCAGCTCCACCCAGTGCAAAATGGGACATTCTGAAGTTTCAAGAAGTTGTAAAATTGAAAGAAAATAATCTACACTTCAGCTGGGGAAGGCTCCCTACACCTCATGGAAGTGCTACATGGAAATCTTTGGAGTTTCCAAGGGTAGGATTTACACCTGAGGAAAAACAAAACCCACACACACACCTTAAACCAACTTTGTGACTTTTATTGATGGGCGACAACTTTATACTTCTAGATATCACTAAACTGTGTACAATTAGGAACTCAACATTATAGGAGAGCAGACAGCAAAATTAAACAAAGCAGACTTAAAGAAATATCAATCTTAATTATTTTGCCCATTTTCTTAATTTCATGTACACAGAAGCATAAATGCAGTTTGAAATTTCTTAATAGCAATAAAGTTACAATCACCCATCTATATAGACTAACATCTTAACTCCAAATATTTGATCTGCAATGTGTACTTAAGCAGTTTCTCATCGCACAATTATTAAAATGTGTCTTCTTATCAGGAACCAGCAACTCTGCAGTTTGTACATGTTTTGAAGCACAAAGGACCATTTCCATCTCATACACATCGGCTCATATTTTACCACTTATCAAAAAACTATTGGGGAAAGCAGAGAGAGCTTTTTTATTTTTATATTTTTTTTTTATATTTTTTTTAATTTTTTTTTTTTTTACTGAAGTAAAGATAAAACATTTTCACAGAAATCTACAAGTTCTGTTGCTGGTGCAGGGTTTTCTTCTACTACGCATTTAGAAAGTGGGAATTAAATGTCAATCCCTTTATTATCTTAGGATTCAGCATGAACTCAGATTAATTTTTGTTTCGTATTATTTTTTTTTTTGTGTGATTCACAAGACTCGAGTCTTCCAACCAAGCGACTTCATTCTGGCAAAAAAGTCAACACAAGCTACGTCGCGCACAAACCCGCGGTCGTTTCCTTGATCACTCTTATAGTTGCGAGGCGGGGTGGGGTGGAAAAAAAAAAGGAGGGAAATGAAACAAACAAAAGGAAAAATTAAAAAAAAAAGAAAAAAAAAGGAAAAGAAATAAAAAGGAAAATAAAAAAAGGAAAAGAAAAAAAAGAAAAAAGGAAAAGAAAAAAAAGAAAAAAAGGAAAAGAAAACAAAAAAAAGAAAAAATAGATTCACTCAGAAGAGCATTTAGAGGAGAGGAAATTAGTGATAGTTGGCGTCCTAGAGAGCAGGGTGCTGCAGGCAGGGTCACAGCAGGTCCACGCGGCGGTAGTACAGGAGGTAGGCTGTGCGTTCCGCAGTCGGCTTCACCACCTGGTACTGATGGATCACCTTCACGGCCTGGTCGTCGATGCGCAACCAGCCGTTGAGCCCGATTTGGAAGACGTCCGTGGTGTAGTGGCCGCCCGTGGCGCTGTTCCCGTGGTGATACACAACTGCGGGGAGACAGGCGTGAGGCACGAAGGCACCACACACACACACACACACAGAGCCGGGGAAACGGGGGAACAAAGGGACCCGCAAAGATCACAGTTCAACTCTTAAGTGAAGGATTGAACCCACGACCTTGGAATTATTCCTGGAGCAGGTCCAGAGGAGAGCAACTAGGCTGGTGAAGGGACTTGAGCACAAGTCCTGTGAGGAGAGGGTGAGGGAGCTGGGGCTGTTCAGCCTGGAGAAGAGGAAGCTCAGGGGAGACCTCATCACTCTCTACAACTCCCTAACAGGAGGTTGTAGCCAGGTGGGGGTTGGTCTCTTCTCCCAGGCAGCTATCAGCAAGACAAGAGGGCATGGTCTTAAGCTGTGCCAGGGGAGGTTTAGGTTGGATATCAGAAAGAATTTCTTTACAGAGAGGGTGATCAGCCATTGGAATGGGTTGCCCAGGGAAGTGGTGGATTCTCCGTCCCTGGAGGCTTTTAAGACAAGACTGGATGTGGCATCAGTGCCATGGGCTGGCAACCGCAGCGGTGTTGGATCAAGGATTGGACTTGATGATCTCGGAGGTCCCTTCCAACCCAGCTGATTCTATGATCCTATAATTCTATGATTATTAGCACCATGTTCTGACCAACGGAGTCAACCCACTGCCCCTCATTGTTTTCTCCAGACGGGATGATCTGGCTTAGGCAACAATCTTTAAGTATTTTTTAGTTCTTGCTTACATTTGATTCTGTGTAGAATCACTGCATGGTTTGGGTTGGAAGGGACCTTAAAGCTCATCTCATTCCACTCCCTGCCATGGGCAGGGACACCTTCTGCTAGATCAGGATGCTCCAAGTCCCGTCCAACTTGGCCTTGGACACTTCATAGAATCATAGAATCAGCCAGGTTGGAAAAGACCTCTGAGATCAAGTCCAACCCTTGATCCACTACCACCGTGGTTACTAGACCACAGCACTCAGTGCCACATCCAGTCTCATCTTAAAAACCCCCAGGGACAGAAAATCCACCACTTCCCTGGGCAGCCCATTCCAATGCCTGACTACCCTCTCTGTAAAGAATTCCTTCCTAACATCCAACCTAAACCTCCCCTGGCAGAGCTTAAGACCATGCCCATCCAGGGATGGGGCAGCCACAGCTTCTCTGAGAATTCCATCCCAGCCCCTCACCACCCTCACAGGGAAGAATTCCCTTCCAATATCTAATCCAACCTTGCCCTCTGTCAGTGTGAAGCCATTCCCCCTTGCCAAGAGTAATATTCGTCACGCTTCTCCAGCATAGCAAAGCTCATGATTCTAAACAAAGGGTTAAGTGAATTAAGAATCAAAAGCATCAAATTGCTTTTTATAACTTCCCAGAGGGTTTTCTGGAAAGGATTTGCCTCGCAAAGGCCATTTGCAATGTGTGCAGTACACCCTGCAGAGCCTTCCAACAGGCACCGCCACACTTGGGGGGATAATGTACACATTCACTCTGCTGACCACAACAGTATTCTATTGAAAATGTTTGTAAATAAAAACCTCTCTAAAGGCCTATTGAAAAAATCAGGTCAAACTATGTAGTGATCTATTTAAAAAAAATAAAAATCAGGGCACACTTTTCTAACTGGCTCATATTTGTCATCAGTGCAGTTATCCCCCTCCAACCATGGCTTTCATTTTCACTGTAATATTATCCTGAAAAAAAAGTTCTAGGAAAGAACCAATCTACAAGTTTCATATTTATTAGTTCTCAGTAACCTCCTTAACAAACCTGTGCACTGAACATCTCTGATTAACTGCTAATTCCAAGAGAGACTCAAACTGCCTTCTTTCCTTAAACGTCTCTTTTCTGCAAAAGGCACAATACTCTTCATCTGTACATGTGAGGGAATTTAGCAAGTAATTCTTTTACATTAGCCTAACCTGAATTATTTTCTAAACTTTATTGTTCGACAGGTAGGCAAATTCTGGATGATATCTGAAACTTAATTCTTCAAAAGCTTATTTTGATAATTCAAAATTCATCCAACAAGCTGTTTCTGTGGATGAGAATGCTGGCAGAAGGCTGAAATACTGCACTTTTCCACAGAAAGAGTTAGAAAAAAAATCACAGTGGTAACTCAAGTCACCTTAAATCTGCTGCCTAAACTTGTCCCATGAAAATCACTATGGATAAAAACAACTGCACTGCCAGAAACACTCCTGAATTTCCACAAGGGACAGGGATGTTCTTCCCTTCTGTAACCTCAGTGGTCACAGCTCCAAGTCACACAAGGCCGCCAGTACTGGCACAGATTTGGTGACACAGAAGTTGGGGTTCAAGGGGATGCAAAGCCAGCATTCAAACAGCCTTTTCCAAAGACATTTGAAACATTATTCTGAGAATCTGTGCTGTATTTTAGTTTCAGCTTCTGCTGGTATTTTTCAGGGCGGATCTGCTACAAAACTTTTTGCAAAGTTGGATCAGTGAGATCCATAAATACAGATATAACAATATACATGTATATACACATGCAAAAACCCTATTAAATACAAGAATTTGACACCCACAAGCTACTTCAGTATAATTTAAAAGAAAATACTTTCTATAATCCAGGGAACTCCAGTGTTTCTCCAATTCCATATGAAGATTTTGCATTTGCAACACAGGGACCAGAGGCACAGAGATTAAATACCTGCAAAGAGCCGGTAGGTTCTTTGGCCTTTAAAAATTTTACTTTTCACACCAGGAGATAGTAGCTCTGGAGGAGGAAAACAAAGACAAAAAGGCAACAGTTAGAAAATTTCAAAATTTAATTTCAAGAGGATCAATTACTTCTCAAAGAAACCAACACTATCATAAGGGAGAAAGCTGAACTGAGATTTCTTCTGCAGCCTTTAAAGAATGATCATGGTTCTGATAACTCCTAATCAAGAGACTGAATTTTCAGGTTTGCTGAACACTGTAGTTTATGGAAGGTTTAAAAATACTACCAAAAATGAAGGAAAAAAAACCAAACAGAGCAAAAGATCAGACTCTACATTTTTTCTCTTTCATTCCTGCTGTCAGGCATGACAAGGCTGCATTTTCTATAAAACACCAGTTTCCTTCCATCAGTCACTAATTATTTAAATAATTTGCCACTTCTCTGAATTAAATCTGTGATAAAAATATCCAGGATTACTTGGCAACAGCCTTGTAGAGGGACACAGCCCTCATTCAAGAGGATCACTTCCCATTATTGTCCTCAGCAGTCTATAATTACTCCATATTTACTCCAGCCTATAGCCCTATTCCATAAATCCACAGGAAGCTCTCTTTTGGTCAACCCATTGTCTAGGAAGTGCCAAAGGTTTTAAAATCTTTCATCATAATGTTCTTTGCAAAACAGATGCTCAAACTCTTACAGAGGCAATGTCAGGTTCACCAAGACTGAATTCAGAAACCCAAATGTGTTCTTTTTAAGAAGAAAAAAAAGGAAAAAACATACCAAATATTCATTCAAATTACTGAGTTTTCAAACAACAATGAAAACAAAAATCTTTTGCAGAAGAAATAAAATACAAACACAGATACCCTGAGGAAACACTATGTTATTTTTTCTCTAAAGAGGGGGAAATTCTGTTCAAAAAATCTTTACCTTTACTAATTTCCAGATCAACAGGATACTCAATATTCTTGATAAGCTTCTGACACCCCCCAGTTTTCTCGTACACGAACCGCTTGAGGTGCAGAACAAGAACAGGGGGCAGCTCTTCCAGTGTGACTCTTCTGCTGATCTCCACCTGACACACACAGAGACAAAGAACACCTGTAATTTCTTGTTAACTGCTCAAAATCACTCCTTCAAATGAGGAATAACTGTTTGATTTTAAATACACTTGTAAAAAGAAAAAACAGATTTGTTATTGTTAATTAATTTATGAGAAAGACTTCAGTTTATGACTTAAAGCCCACTGGATCTTCAACTAAAGTGGCGTCTTAAAGGACAACTCAGTATTTTCAAAGAGAAAAATATGAGTTATGACCACACTTTTCTCTACCAAACAGTGATTTTTGTGGACTGTTTGGTTATAATTATATGAAGTTGCTGTCTGAAAAGCTGAAACTGAGCTCAGAATTGCAGAACAAAATTGTTTTGCCTTCCTAGAAATTAAGACATAAAAACACTTCTCAAAATAACTGCTCAAGGTTTTTTCTCCGGTTCTTATTGGGAAAAATCTCTTTATTGGCAGTCACCAGCATGTTATTTTCAATACAGGGTTTGATTCTGCTAGGACCCACTAAGGGTGGAATAGAAACTCATGGGGAAAAAACTATTCTCTCTTTCCAAGCTTGAAAAGTAAAACTTCTGAGGTTCTCAAGGAGCAGTTTGAGAACCCCAGGGAATGTGAAGACTCTTCCTAAGGAGTATGGGGAAGGGAACCTGGAAAAGTCAATGAGGGAAGGCCAATTTGTTGCTGAAGACACTGAAAACATCTGCAAATAGGAATGAGAGTGAAAGGAAAATCACTTCAGTGAGGATAAAAATTAATCCCTTAAAAAACATATTAACTATTGAATAGTCAAGATTTAACCAACTGAACTGTAGGACCAAAAGGAACCAAAACATCTTTCTACAAATGCAAGTGAAATTTAAGTCAGAAACAGCAAGAGGATGTCACTCCATTTTAAACAGCTCACTCCATTTTAAACAGCTGTTTACATTTAAAATGCCTAATTTAACACTGCATGAAAATCTGACTGATTTTCTGTTTGTATTAATACACACATAAAATTCAAAATCAGCTTAAAGTGATTAAAATATAAATTTTAAGATAAATCATTCACATATATTTGGAAGATTGCTCTTCTCCTATGTATTCTATGCCCACAGTTTAATCCAGATTAAAACAATCAGGAGACTGCAATAATTTTTAGTAATATAATAATATTATTTTTAGCTTTATCAGTAATCCTGATAAAGCTAAAAATGTAAAATGGATACTAAATACTTCTTTGCAAGACATTCTGGAAATTACTATCTGCAAAGTCCTTTGCTGGTTCTACAGACAATGATTTCAGTGTTTTTACTACAATTTTAGAACAAGAACAACTTGAATTTCTTTAAAAAAAAAAAAAAAGTCTAGAAGACACTGTGGATAGTTGTCTTTCCATCCAAACTCTGAAATAAGCCAGCCCAAACCTCCAGCACCTAATTTGAACACCCATTTCTTCCAAACCCCCTAATTGAGCACTGGGTTGTCAGTCAAGAAGTTAAAACCATCTGCAGGGAAAACCAAGAAATGAATGACTGGCAAAACAAGATCCATGTGGTAAATCATGATGAGCTTGCATTGTAAATGCTTCTTTCACATGGAAAACAACTGGAGAAAAAAAATGTTCTGAGCATTCAAGGCAAATTTCAGCTATTCAAAGAAAATGATCCAGCTTTTCTTTATCTCACCCTATTCTCACTTGGAGTATTTAGAAAACTCACAGATACAAACAAGAATGTCAGAGAGAACACCTACAACTCCAGAGTTATCCACAGTGTACAGGGAATTTCCATCTGAGCAATCCAGGCACACCAGAGGTGACGTTCTTTACTGCTGCCCACCATAAGGAGCAAGGCACTGCCTTAGAGAGGGAAGTTTAATTTATTACCCTCTACCACAGGTTCTCAAACTGCAAAGCCCAAGGTAAGCTTTTCCTCCTTGGAAAGATTTTTTTATTGTAGTTATTACTATTATGTATTATTTGAAAAAGGAGATAAAAAAATTTTGCAAAGCTGCTTGAGAATGTAAAATAAAATGTCCTGGTACTTAAAGCAACAGAGAATCACAGGGCTTGGAGACCTCCAAGATCTTCCCCTCTGAATCAGGTCAGACCACTTGTGTAAATCCTGAGTTGTGCTTCTCCAACCCTGTCTTACAGCAGCCAGGACAACTCCACAAGCACCACAGGCACACCTAGTCCAGCTCCTAGTCCTAATTTAGTGTCCGAGTATCACTGAGGAAAATCAGCCTTCTCTTTTTTAGAGCAGCCTTTAACACACTAATTTTTACATCTGGATCCATCTCTCTACTTCCATGTTTTTATTTCTTGAGGCTGAACAGCTCCTGCCCCTTATTCCTTCCTTTTACATCACAGTTTTTATACCACCATTCATTTTGATTGGTGTTTTCCAACTATGAAGAACATTTCTCAAGGTGTAATTTTTGGGGCTGTCCTGGGCAGGGAGTTGGACTTGGGTGATCCTTGGGGGTCCCTTCCAGCTCAGGATATTCTCCAAGTCTGTGAACCAATCACCTAAAACTGAATATAATATTACTGACAAGCTGGTTTTTTTGGTGTACAGCAAACCAGTCACCTACAGAGTGCCAAGGACACTGAATGGAGGTGTTACTGGCTTTTGAAACATTTCAGATTATTAATCCAGAGAGAAAGATCATGATCATCAGATATTTTAGAGAGGTTCTACACTGACTTCTACCAGGCCTCCCATCAATGAATATTTCCATTTTTGATCTGTAAGTGAAGTGTGGAAACCAAAACCTCTCAAGGACAGCCACACACACAACCAGGCAAGTGTTCTGCTCTGGGAGTTTTCTTCCTAAAGCAAGAGCCTGCTTTGACATGATACTTTGAAGAGCTGCTCCTTTACTAACAAAAATCTGGCAATTCCCAGGAATCAGTATGTTATGATCAGCTAAACATAACAAAGTGTATTATTACCACAGTTCACTCTGTTAATTTAATATACACTGCAGTAAAATCTCCAATAAATTACTACACCAGCTATTTACAGGCATGGTTTTGGTTAAGAGTTAATTCTTTTCCTCTCAGTGTATGTGCTCACATCTAAGACATTTTATTGCTGCAGGACACTTGGGAAAGCTCCTCCCTCTTTTGTTAACATAAGAGTGTTCAAACAACTATCTGTAAAGCAACAGCTGTATAAAAACCCTTTTAAAGACTTTAGCAGTTGGCTGTAAAGAAAAGGCTCAGCAGAACACACCTCCTGCTTGGTTTTTGTGGTGTATCCCTGGACAGACTCTCTTGCCACCAAACTTTCCAAGGCATCCTGCACTGTGCGGATCTTGTCTGACTGGATGTCCAGCTGCAGGGTGAAGAAAGGTTGCAGTGTAGCAGACTCCTTGGAACTCTGCTGGTAAACAACAGATCTATGGGGGGAAAAAAAAAAGTTAAAATGTAATAAAGTGTTATTTTCGACAATACAGAACTTTCAAGTCAGAATAAAGTTACTTAAGTAACTCAATTTATATTAAATTCAAAGTGACACACAAATACAAAGGCTAAGCTTTAAGTTTCAACAGGAAACACTCACTGCTATTTAAAGGGTTTTAACATCCACTAAGGACATACTGAATGGGATATAATTGAATTGTTTTATTTATGCAAAGATTAAAACAACTACTGGATAAGCATCAAAAGTTTAAAGAAAAAGCCTGAAATTTTTGATAATGCATTTAAAAAAGAAGTTCACCTCCAGGCTCTTTTTGTGTTAGTTTTGAAATTCCATTTCCCAACACATCTTCAGAAGTGCAAAGTCCTAATGCTTATCTGTGTTCTGTTGTAAAAGTTACAACTGATTCCAGATTCTCCAATAAAAATATAATAATTTTTTAGTCACTTCACTAAGACCAATTTCACAGTGATTTTAAATTGTTTGCTTAAATCTTGCCACAGGAAATACAAACTTTGCTCCATCAAGGACTGGCATTTCCTTTTCCTCCCATCATTTTCTGTGTCCAGACTTCCTCCATGTACTTACTCCTTTGTACATAAATTGGAGCCTTTTGGAAAACTAGCTGAGGTAATGACCTGGGGCATGAGAACATGTTTCCTGGGTTTTTTGGGGTTTTGTTTTTGTTTGAAGTGTGTTCAGTTGCAGCTTTTAAGTAGCCTGGCTTGGTGAGCACTGTTTTGTTCACTGCACTAAGTGGATCTTCCTGACTTTCATTTGTCTTAAACTTCACTGAAAAAAAATGAAGATTTTTTTTTTTTATTTTATTTTGAAGGCAATATTTGCATTTAAAAGCTCCAGCTTCTACAAAAACGTGGCTTTACACACAGCCAAAGAAATGATTCATTTATTATGGTGCTGTGCATTATAAGGCTTGAAAACACAATTATAACTAACCCAGTTCTGATCCATGTGGCCACGCTGGAATGTCTCCAAGTCAGACAGGAAATGATGTTCAGATTAATGCAGGTTAAACAAAAGAGCCCCTTTGCCTCAGGGAAAGCCCTGAAGCACCAACAGAAACAGCCAATGCAGCTTTATATTGGCAAATATATATCCTTTAGAGGAAAGGGAGGGTATGGAAAACAGTAGCATCTTTATTTCAGTTTAACACTTCCTCCTTGGCTGTGTTAAAGGACAAAACCTTCAGCACATGGCAAGAGCAGTGTTTCAATAAACAAACCTGTCCCTGCTTTTGGATATACTTCCTAATTATTTTTTTTTTAAGCAAACTGTTACTGAGAGCAATAATCCAGAGAAAAATGTTAACAGCTCCAACTGTGTTCAAGACCAGGTATTAAAATTTAATGAAAAATAGCAATAATATTCTCAAATAAGAATGTTAAAAAAACCTTTTTTTAAAAAAAATATTAGAAATTATATTGTATTATTTGTTCAGAACATTTTCTTCACAAAGTTATGCAGAAATTGATATGACAGCAAAGCCTTTGCTGGATTATGATTTTTCTGTAGCAGCATCACTTACAAATCTCAACTGGACAGGGGAAAATGCATCATTTGCAATGAATAGTTAATTGGGCACTGCATAAATTCTACATTAAGAATTTTTCAGGCAAACCTTGTACTTGCACATTTAAGTCTCACGTTGCTAAGGAAGACTTTATGGGTTGTCTGCCTAATAGGTATTTAATAGACTCAAGCCTTGCAAGGCCAGCCCAAAGTTTCCCAAGCCTTAAGCTCCCCAATTCAAAAGTTTCCCAAACCTGAAGATGCCAATTCAAACCATCTTTTCCCGGTTGCTTTTTCCATTCCATTTTTCCAGTTTCTGATGCTTTCATTTAGTGCAATTCTACTGCCATTTCCATATTCAGTCCTTCCTGTCTCCACCCTCAGCCTCAGAGATGAGGTTTTCCAACATCCCATGGGATGCTGTTCCTCTGGCAAATTGTGTGGCCTGGTGTGAGGGATAAGTCCAGTGGACGTGGTGACAGCAAACAGCAGATGTTGGATTGGACCCTTGATGCAAGTTTTTGCCTTTTTTCAGTATCACCTTTGCTTTACATCATTTTCTGTGGACTTCCACAGAAAACAGCATTCACTCAGTATTTTAATACAAAAACTGATGGAATCAAGTAGAGATCTAAACAATCCTGACCAGGATAAATACATTTAAGGTATTAACAACCCCTTGGGTACGTGAGCCCTCGATGCAGAATTCCATCAATACCTACAAACATCTGGCTGCCAAATTCTATGGAAAATATAATTTTATTTGCCAGCTGTCTGGCTCAAAACCCAGCAGAATAAATAATTTCAGAGCATTTCACAGGCAGAAGGCACTAGCCCACATTATTCACACTTCTAGACTGAATATCTGGCAACACAGAGAGTCAAACACCAGCAATTAAGTGTCTGTCTCCAATTTAAAAATAATTCTTCGAGTCTAGCAGTTTTGTTTTGAATATGTTTTTAGCAAGTGTTTACTTTGCTTTCATTTTAAATTACACATTTCTCCAAACAAGTCATGAGGCTTCCTTTCCAAAAAATATTCTTTCAGGATCTACTTTCTGCCTTCATCTGGTATCAGACCTGAATATAAGTAATGTCCCACATTCTTTTCATTCCAGTAACATCTTGTAGTAATTTATATTTTTCCAGATTCCTTTTGCTTTTAACATTTATTAACTATTACACATAACTTTCTCTGGGAAGCATTAAGTGTCTAAAGGACTAAAAGCCCACAGTTTTTTACTTTATTTCACTCACAAGAGTTAACTCTTTGTAAATCTCATTATCTCTTAGTATCCTTATTTACAACACGAGTCAAGAATTCTCAGAGGACACAAAAATTAAGCAGCTGGAATTCTTAAGACATTAATATTCCAAGCATACATATTTTCTACGTGCAACTCTTTGCTTCTCAACATTTTTTTTTCTTTCAAGACACTTAAAAGTACTGTACCTTATGTGACCACCAAAGATATCAGTGATTGGAGTCTGCACAAAGTCAGCCTGGCGGGTGACTGAGGACTTGTTGCGAGGTCCCACTTGCTCCCACTCGTCCTCGCTGCCTTCCCCTTGTTCCTCCTGCTCCTCTTCCTCGGGAACAGCCTGAGCCTCAGGGCCGTTGGACACCAACAGTTCTTCAAGAGACCAAGAAAAAAAAAAACCACGTTGAGTTTTTTACAAATAAAACACGTAGACAGGTAATGAATTTAAAAGGCAAATAATAATAATAATAATAATCATCATCCTTTCCAAGGATAAAATGCTTCCACGGATCAATTGGTTTAATAAATAAAAAAGAGAACAAGCATTTTCCAGGCTCACTCCTAGCTGGACACATCCTGTGTTAACAGAACCTAGCTTCACTGATGACTGTATGTAAATAAATGGAGTTTTCCAGCAAAGTTTGATATATTTATAGCAGTAAATTTATGGGGTAGAAAATTAGAAAGTCAAGTGTTATTCTGGAAACATAATTAAGTTATTATTAAATACAACTCCTTCTCTGCACAGGTATTTTACAGGGAACCCAAGGCTTAGCAAATATTTTCTCTGCAAGTGCCCAAGTCAGGAGGCTATAAACTGCTCACAGCTACAGAACATGTGGAATGAACATTTTAGATCTTAAAAAATTTACCCAACTAAAGAGAAATCGGATAACTAGAGATCTTAACTCTATACTTGGCCAAGGCTCACAGTATTTTGTTTCATTTTTAACAGGGGGCTCAACCATAAAGCCACTATAAAATAAAATGGCATTTCACTTTGCATACAATTCTGGTAATTCTTCCAAAGAAAAATTCTTCACTGACTTTGTCAGTAGGAATTTTAAAATCATTTAATATGCTGGTTTATACTGGATATAAATTAGCCTTTAGTCTAGAACTTTCCACTTCAAAAAGAAGACTTTTAACAGTGGTTTAAAGATCAGTGAAAAAAGACACTGATCTATTTTGAGCTCCCACTGAGAGAACCAAAACCCCAGAAAACAACTGACACTGCAGGTATTATGAATGACAAACATCCCTATGCTTCAGACAAGACCAGTCAGCTTGAGTTAACCTCAAATAATGTATACATTTGTAATACAGAATTTTATTGGTTAGGAGGACCAAGTGTATGACTGATTGTCATTCAGAGCATTTACAGAATGATGGTGCTCTTCCAAATACCCAGTAACTTCAGATCATTTATAAACTACAGAATGGGTTCATTTTATCCAGATTTGCTATTGTCAGAGTCCCCTAAAACATAGCAGTCTACCCCTATCTCAACATCTACTCTAAACATTACTCTGTGTTACAGAATCACCACACAAACATAGTATTTGAAATAAATCGTTTTCTACCAAGGGAAAAAAGTATCCACTAACTTTCATTATGTGGAGAGAGAAGTTTCTTGAGGGTCAGCATTTCTTCATGTAGTCCATTGAGGATAAATCCCAAGTATTCTTCAGCATCCTCTTGCCTGCCCTGAATAAAACATTTTTTTCAATTAATTCTATGACATTTTCATGGTTTCCTTTTAACAGAAGGTTCATGAGATGGACCATCCAGCTTTTTCATATTAATTTAGCCTATTCAGCAACTACTGAGTCTAAGTTTTAATGTCAAAAAAAGTTTAAATTTTACTGTAACAGCACCTCATTTTTAACCAGTTCAAACCAAACTGCCCTAAGCAAATACACCCATAAGCTTCACATGGCATTTCTGCATTCTCCTCAATACAAATTCCATTTAACATGTGAGCTGGGGTTTTTTTTCCCCTATTTCTTTTAAAACCACTATTAAGAGTTGCTGTCAAGCCATGGCCAAATGAAAAGATGGTTTCCAACTATTACCTTTTCTTTAAATTGAAACTAAACCTGAAATAGTATTTTGAAGTCTCCGGACCTTTGACCATTCCAGGCGGAATCCCTCACAAAAATGAACAACTGCTCATTTCTTAAATGTCAATCCATTGGTAACTTCATTATAAAAAGAGATGTTCCATTCCAACAGTAATTTTTTCGTTATTCTGACACATCAAACTGCCAAACCTATAATTAACTCATTCAAGTCCCAAGACATTATAATGAGCTATCAATTAGCTGATTTTTGTGGTGTTTGAGCACAGAATCTGATGTGTGGCTTTCCACAGTTTCAGTGACAGGGACTGCCCTGTGATGCAATGCCAGAAGTCAAGGATTTTAAGTCCCACCTTTTCTGACAGACTCGACTTTATAACCGTCAAGAGTCTGTAAATGTAGGTCGGTTCAAAGGCAGCTCCTGGTCGGATGTCTCTCACTATTTTATCACCCAAAGCTGCAAAGCAAAAGAGAAATAAATATAAGTAACAATATAGAGAAGTTTTTTCTACATTATACATTAATATTCTCCTCACACATCACTAGATTTTGGAGCTCAGCATTTATTTACTAATAGTTTTATTCTAATCTTGATACTCTTTATCTGTAAACATTTTTTAAAAAAACCATCTTACATCACCCTGCATTGACTGACAGATGCTCTAGAAAAGTTAATAAACACTCTGAAGATTAACAAGAATATCCACAGTCATCATAAAAGAACATTCTAGTTCTATTTAAATTTTTGTACTCGAAGAACACTTCTTAAAAGCTTGTATGTATTTGCAATTCTAACAGATCATTTTCCCTCACTGGAGAAAAAACAAACAAACCAAGAAACAGTTTGACAGAATGTTCCACCTAATGGCAATACAAGGTCTCAAAACTGTACTTGAAAACTACACAATGAAATGACCTAGAAGTATAATAAGTTGCATAAGCCAGTGAGATTTGTTTTACAGAAAGAAACCACAGAAATGTCTGAACTGTTTGGAAATCACTGGAACAACCAGCTCCTTGCAATATTTTCTTATCACGTTACATAAAAAAGTTTCAGGAATGTGCTTGTTTCTCTAAGTTTGTAATACAAAAGACTTGGTTTAAAATTAAGATTAAAAAAACTGAAATCTGTAAGATAATTTACTTGCATCAAAAAACATTCTATTCCTCTAGATCATCATTGAGCCTGAATCTGCATTAGCAGGAGTCACACACTTCTAAAGCTTTCACTCTGGAATCAGAAGCCAAGACAGTATTCCTGCAGGCAATCTCCAACTGCTCAACAGACCTGCTCTGGCCCCTTTTCCAAATGAATGGGAGAGTTCAGGATTTAAGGAAGGATGATAGAATTGAGCAATGTGATAAACTAAAAAGCTGGAAATAGGTAAGGAAGGAAACGAAGTAAAACGCTGTATTTTTTACATGACTTTGTTAGAAAGGACATGTTGTTAGAAGAAATCTTAACAATTAAGTGAACCTTCAACAAAAACTATTCTTATTGCACTTGTTACACCTTAAATTTTTTCTTCTATGTGGTTGACCAATGTACATCTCTGACTTCCTGACATGAATCACCAATAAGAAAAAGTGCAACACTGACACAAAAGCAACAGCAAATTTTGTAAGGTATCGAAAAAACCCCAAAATCCCAAAGAGCCCTGAAGAGGATCAAGCACCAGTATTAAGAGGTCTCAAGTACATCACCCAATGAGATCCTTACCCCAAAGCCTTCTTACCACTTTATGACTTTTCTGCCCCTATTCCCACTCACCTTGCTTTGCTTTAGGAGGTACAGGCATATTAGTGAACTCATTCATTAAACGAACACTGCAACGGAATGGAAGGAACAACTCCACATGAGCAGCAAGTTAAGACTTAGAAGGACAAATAATACAATCAGATCATTGCCATTATGACTGCCAAAAAACAGAATATCATCACAAAGTCTGAGTAAAACATAAAACCCAACCTGATCACTGTAATGAAACCCAGGTGTTTGGTTGGTTCATTTTTGCATATTAAGCACAATTTACAACTGATACTCCCGAGGCAACAGGAAGTATCCTCCTTGACTAGTCAAGGAGTTGTAAAATACCAAGTTCATTCTAAAAGACATGGATCGCCCAAAAACCACACGAGAGAGACTTCTGGATACAGAGCAAGTTTCAACAACGATCATTTGTTATTTCTGAACGAGCTCAGTCAGATCCCAGACTCTTATTCCCTTTTCCCAAGCTACTTACAAACTGTCTAGCATTGGAGTTGAGGTACACGGCCTCTGCGATTTGGAATACATTGGAATGGACTTCATTAAATGATACATTGGAGGGCAAGCAACCAAGGCCTGCAGGGTCTATGCAATGGCATTAAGGAAATATGCAAAAAATTCATCTGTATATTAACCAAATATTCAGTTATATTTCAAATTCTATGCAAACTCTATATTTTTATTGTCGCTCAAACCCATAACACTGGAAAAGAAGATGAAGCTTTATCACAACATTAACCAGTGATGTGCAGAAGTTGTACTAAAAAAAAACCACAGCTTTTTATAACATGCAGTGATTTCAGTGACATTTTAATCGTGGCAAAAAGGAAAACATTTTGTCTAGGAGCAGGGGAGGAAAAGAACTTTCATAGGAAAGACTTTATAAAATTAACAATTTGAAAATTGGCAAGAGATAACCTGTAACATGCTTTCTGAGAAGAATGGAAGAAGTCGACAGATTTTACGTCAGAGGTGGTGATTCACCCCTGTACCCAAACTAAAAGTAACCCTCTGTGATGTGAGACATTCTGCAGCGTCAAGAGTTGGGAGCAACCAGTGAAACTCCAGAGCACACTGGGAGAATAACAGTTTAAAACCACCTCCTTGGTGAGACCAGTGAACACAGGAAATGCATTAAAAGACTGGAGGGAAATGACAAAAAAGGCATCGATCTCAACAGCTACAGAGAGAGATTAATTTGGTCCCCACAGTGTGCAAAAATTGAATAATAAATTCCCATGTAACACTTCAAGACTGAAAAAATGGGAGCTAATATGTATATGTAATAGCTGAGTGCACAACTGGTTATATAAGACAAAAGCTGAAGTTTAAAGCACAATTGTTGCTCTGGAAATAGTTTATTAGGGTCTGTCATGATCAGTCTTGAAATTGGTCTTAGTTATTTTTCCTTTGCAGTACCAGTACTCAGGGTATCCCAAATGTCACTCACAGTGAGCCTTGCTAACACAGGACAAAATTTTAAAAATTATTAATGATTTTTATTAATATCATAATATAGCACTGAAGGACAATCTCTGTTCCCCAGGGTAAAAGTTATTTTTGCAGGGGAATACAATTCCAATACATTAAGAGCAGGTTCATCCTCCACAATGTAATGTGCAAAAGGAATATTTTAAACAATAATAGTGACAGCCTGCTCAACAAAAAGCCAAATGATCCCCTTACCAACTGCCAAGACAAAGCCCAAGAGTCAGGACAGTTACTTCAAGTACAAAAGATAAATAACCACCTAAATTGATGCAGAGTAAACATAATTAGAAATTAAAAGGTTTTCAATCAGGAGAAAGTCACAGTTCTGCAATATTTTGACACGGGTAACAACTGCAAACAGGACTGGAGGGGAACTCTGGACCTGAGGCTCAAGGATCCCAAATCCCCTTGGATTTCTAGCTGCTACACTTCACATCTTAACCACAGCAGCAGGATCTGGGAAGACAAACACTTTTATAAAATACTTACCAGAGAAATCCAGAAAAACTTTGACAGATATACTACACAAATTTTAACTTAAGAGTATTATTTTTTCCAGGGAAGGATACAGCATTGATGTAGCACCAGTTTCCTTTGTTGATCAGCCCTCGGGGTTGCAAAGACACTGGTTTATGTATTAGCCTTACACTTTCCAGTATTTCTGCAGGGTGAGAAACAGTAAATTGAGCATCAACAAAACTCACATGTGGCCATCAAACAAGTATCTGTTGCTGCATCACAAAATAATTCAGTTCAATGTACAAGATTCCCAGAAACTTCAGCAAATCATTTTCACTCCATTTAAGCACTGCTTGTATTTCAAACCAGACGTGTTTCTTCCACCGGAGACATCCTGGAATTCGGGTCAGGAGGATGCTGGGACAAAAACCAACCACTGGCATTGCAAAACTGACAAGACCTATTTGGTTTTATTTTTGTTTCCTTAAAAGCAGATACTTTTATTTACATAGATACACAGATATCAAATCCCATTAGCTGGCAGCACTTGTCCCCAGTTTTAGGAAGTATTTCCCAAATTCTTCTGCTTTGAAGGGAGATGAAGATGACAGAGCAGTCCCAGTTTACAAGTTTCACCATCCACTATCTTACAACAAAAACATCTCAGTGCAAACAGACAGACAGATGTTACTGTGCTCTTCAGAACAGGCTGTTTTATTTACTGGTTTAAGACTTGCAAAATCTACGAGATAACAGCCTTACATAATGTAATTCCACTTGTTTTCCTGCTTCCAAAACCTTCAGCAATGAAGTTTAAAACTTAGAAACCACTGCACATAATTGTGCCTCAGTTATGAAACAAGAGCAGCACAGGGAGTTTTTCCAGGAATCCTGACCTCTTATTTAGGTCCCCAAATAAAAACCATTTAAAGAAAATATTGGAGCTGGTGTATCTTAAATTTGCAAAATAAGGACAAGAGGTATACAAGTCAGAACTAACAGATGTAAATGAACGTGGCAATTGTCTACCAAGGGGGTTATTTATTTTTATAATAGATGTGAGGACCTTTATATGCTACCCTGCATAAACCTAAGGAGTTTGAGCTGTTCTCTAGAAGGACAAATAAAATAACATGACACAGGTGGAAAAACAGAGGCACAAAGCCATAACTAAGCAGAGGAGGTGGCAGAACTGCCAACAAAATCCACGTCCTTCTACTTCCAAAATATCTCCTTACCTATAAGATTGTATTTCCTGCAGACACCACCAGTTCTAACCAAATTAAAATGACAAAAAAATAGGACATTTTTAAGTCAGTCATCTATTACATAAAGAACCTGGCAGCTGAAAGAGCAGACAAAAAAATAAGATGTAAAATGGAAAATGTAGCAGAGAGGCAGGTGAAAACTCCTCTGTGAGTGCTGAAATATTGAATTACTGCTCAAGTATTTCAGGATATATTAACATTTGAACTGTGTTGTGCACACATACAATCTTTCTGTTAATATAACTAAGCACTGTTGGAAATTAGGATAAAAATAGAGGAAAAAAAATTATATTTTGAATGTCTATCAGCAACTTTTGACATTAACTCTTCCCTATTTTTGCACCATGCTAAAGAAAGATATTATTAGGACCTTTAGCATCCTCTTGTGGTCATAAAACTGCTTTGTAGCAGTGTCTAGTGCAATTACTGAGTTTATTTCTTTTAACAAAGAATTACCTTTGTGTACAGCATTCAATACCACATCTCCATCTAACATTTGCACAGAAACTAAAAGAACTTTCACAAGAGTATCAGAAGAAAAATACACTTAAAACCATGAAAAAAATCATCTTAAAATTTCAAAATCTGTTAGAAAGCTCAAGTTATTAATCAAAAAGAACTCACATTCCCTTTGGAGAATGACTGGTGAAAAGGCCTTGATTTGAAAACAGATCTAGAACACTATTAACATTTTTGTAGGTAAACAAAACACATTTTGCTAAAGTTCATTCACTAGGTCTTGTTATTACAAATACCTGCCAATTTTTTTCTAGAAAAGGTTATTTCCTTATCAAAGCAAGTCCAAAGTTTAACAAGAGAGGAACCACATGGACACAGTCTCCATGTTGAAGACACTTGTTAAAAGTTAGGAATTTAACACCTTAGATATTCAACACTTGGCCTGAGGCCCCTATTTGGAGAATATTTTGTCTCTCAGATCTTTCTTCAAACTGGACAATGATTAAAAAATCCCAGGACAACACTGCTGGATAACCCTACACAAAATCAGTATCTGCAAGAATGCAACAGGTTGCATTTATGAAGTCATTTATAACCCCCCCAAACCTTGCATGTCTCCACTCCACAACTCCTTCAGTGCTCCAGCACTTACCTACCTTTACAATAAGAAAATATTTTCTAATATGTAATACTGAAACACCTTTCTTACAATTTGAACTAACTCCTTTCTTTTTCTCTAGTCTTGGGAGAACAGTGAATCATCATGTGAATTTACATCAGTGGTCACTCCAACAATCTCAACTGAGACAAAGTAAATCCAAATTTTCCATGTTTGCCTACACGGTTTTCAAACCTTCCTTCTATTTTCACTGCTGCACTGTGGAATCTTCCTTGAGAACTAATGCCCAGAGACTGGCATTTCCATCAAGTCCTCAACAGCAACAACAGAATTAGTTACCTTCCTCCTTTTCCATGTAAATTGGTATTAACACACAGCGGGAAAAAACTTCTTCTTCAGCTTTACTGAGGACACTCCTCAACTCCCTAAAACTTCCAGATCCTCTTCTCTAATTCTACTGCCAACCATGAGCGTGGGTGTTGAACAAAGCACTGAGGTTCCTGTTTTCCAAACAGGACAGAGAACACCAAAGAATGGAAAATAAAGAAAACCTCCTTTTTTCCACAGAGCAAAGCACTGAGTACATTTACATGACATTCACATCTTCAAGTAAACATTTTATACCAAAATCAGCAGCATGTGAATTACAGAAATTGCAGCAACATAACTCCTACCTAAAGCAGCTACTACGAGCAGCTGAATTCCTCTTATCTGCCCAAACAACTAACAGTGAAGGTGCAAAAGACAACTTGCATAAAAATGACATTGCTACTTTACTACATTTAAGACAAAACAAAAAGCTCTGCTCCCACCTGGTGGCAAAAAATAGTACAGAAGCAGTAAAAGTTCAGGAAGTTAACTTAGAGCTGAAGCAACCTGGACAAGATAAAAAACCTTTTTCATTTATGGCAAGCAGTTTTAGCTGTGTGCTTGTCACAAAATAGTTTTAAGTTAAAAGTCATTACTAAAGGATAGCTTGAGATTTTAAGACTACATTGTTCTCCACATATATGGCACCATACAAACTGGAATCACCTGCTCATATATTTTTTTTAATACAGTCAACTGTGCTTGTAACACCTAAGTGGTAAGTACAAATTATTCTGACAGCTTTTCTCTCAACAGACAGTTCTGAGTAAGGAGGGGAGGAGAGGCAGGATCTACTTCTGGGCATTCTGAATAGTTATCTCCAGGTCAGCTTCTGGCAGAGTAGGAATCTGACTCGAAGCTGCCACACTCATTGCACTTGTAAATTAGTTTGTAGCACAAATGGCAGGATTTTTCACCAGCCCATTTCACGTACAGACTAATTCACAGATTTAAATTAATTACTTTTGTCCCAACATTCATGAATTAATGACACAAAATGCAACCAACTGGGAAAACTTGGTGTTTTCTGACCGAAGCTGCAAAAAGGATCTCCCGCATTTTCTAGTATATCTCATTAGAACCAAAAATATGACAGGACCAACAGGGAAAGTCTTTGTATCACTCGTTCCCTTTCCTGATGTACCCTCTGGACAGCTCCTTATGGTTTTTCTTGAGCAGGCAATAGCTAGCATTGTTTCTGGATAAAATAATATTGTTTATAATAATTAAGGATAATTCTTCAAAATTGGAAGGACAGACCTCTCAAACAGCATATCAGTAAATATAATATCCCTGAATTAGAATTTCTGAAGAAAGACCTATTTAGATGTTACACTTCAGCTGCTGTTCAGTGTCCAGGAATTTCAGCTACTTTGGTGTAAATACATTAATATTCTTGTTGCAATGGAATGCACTACAAGATAATAAATACTGGATAATGTACCACCATTTCCTATTCTCCTTGTTACAACAGCACAGATCTGAACACAACCAGCCTATTTAAATTCACAGATCATTTAAACACATTGTTTGACAAGTAGCAACAGTTTTACCGTATCTGGGATAATGACAAGGCAATCCCTGGTTGGAATGTTTACTCAGAGGGATACAAAACTAGTTTATTCAAATTACAACCTTCGTGCAGTGTTTGAACAGTTGTCTTATTACCAGGGGAACATCACCAGAGGAATGTTTTCTATGAATATTGCACACTCCTGTTTACAAGCAGAGCTTGTAACATCCACTCGTGTGTATTAACTATACCTGCAATCTTTATGGCTACAGGATCCTCTGAAACTGGAACAGGTCCCTCTTTGACTTCAACCTGTTTTTCAGGGACCAGAGGAGATGTGGCAGGAGGGGTATACTTAGTCTCAACATAGACCACAGATGTGGAAGCAGAGGGCTTGGAATTGTGAAAAAGACTAGCCCACGATTTTGCAGGCTGATTAACGGGGACTGATCCTGCAACCGGGACTGTTGCCTCAGTAGTAGGTGAAGCTTCCTCAGGCTTAGCTTGGTCTGAGTCAGTGCTTTCCACAGTGTGCAATTCTACCCCATTGGCAGCTGTGTCCTCACCAGAGGATTCAAGTGTTTGTCCATTAGTAACGCCAAGACTTTCAGTAGTATCAGTACCAGCATAAGACTGTACACCAGCTGTCCTTAGGGGGCTATCTCTGACGGCCTCCGAGGGGAGGCAAAACTGTTCAGAATTAGGAACTCGGCATACCTCGGGCTGCCCGGCAGTCCTGGCATTGTCCAGAGCGCTGGCAACGGCCCCAGCAGGGACAGCTCCAGGCACGAAGTCCACGGAGTTGTCCGGGCTGTTGCAAGTCCTTGGCGTGGCCAGGGAGGGGATGTCTCCTGCCAGCTCCGTGTCCTCCGGGGGCAGTCCCGAGGAGTTGGCGTGGCCGTTCACCAGCGCCTCCGGGGGGGCCAAGCCATCGCTGACATCTTCCAGGTAACTGTAATATCCAGGGGGTCTTTTCTTCTTCTTTTTGCGCTCCCTCTGCCCGAGGCCTCCGGACAAGCCGTCGTTTTCCGCGTTGGAGCCGCTGTCCAAAGCCAGGCCGGGATCGCTGAACTGGCAGTCGATGGAGTTGTAGTTGGTTTCACTGAGAGCATCATCAGGGGGTTTCTGAGCAGGTGCACAACTGAGGATGAATTCTGGAGCCTGAGGATTCAGAGTACTTGAAATACTGTAGTCGGTGTTATTTAGGACAGATGATTGCGTCTCAATAACTTCGTTAACACCAAATTCAATTCTCTGATACTCTTCCCCTGGACAAGAGAAGGCAAATCTCAGTTAGAGAATTACAGCAAATCGAGAAGCTACAAGAGCAAGAAAAAAACCTCCTTATTTTTCTCCAACTCAACTACGTTCCCTCAAACAAAAGTAATCCTTAACCTTGATCCTGAAGACCATTTCAAAACATCATTCTCTTAAAGATAGGAGCATGATTCAGGTTTTCTTACACAGAGTATGTAATTTTCCAGATCACTGTACAGCCCCTGCAAATAACCCCTATAAAATTCACCTCTTAAGAAAAACCATTAAAGCCCAACAACTTCAGAAATAATCTGCATTAAGTTAATTACTGGATAATTGCCTATAAAATATGCTGCAATATTTAACTCGACATTTCTTCTAAAGCCAGTCTTTCCCACTGACAATTATAAAATCCAAGCCTCACCTCTAACTTTTCCATATATGAAGTTTGAGTTTTGGGGGGCTGGATTTGGTTTTCTTGGTGTGATCTATTATAATGAAAGGTTTAACACAATCCATAATAACTCAAATATATTTTCATTAATTGCATGGAAACAATGAAATTACAGGTTTTGAAACTTTAGGCTCATCGATAATTTATTTGATTAGAATTGAATTTATTACTACATAAGAATATTATATATATGACTCCAGGTTTTTCTGACAAGAAATATGACTGATACTCAACACAAGTCAGCATTCAACTTGTACATATGAGCAGTACTGAAAAATTATGAACAGGCTTTTTTGTTTTATTGATTTATTTATTTATCTTGGAACTTTAAAGAAACAATAAGAAATATTCTCATGGAAGGCTGCAGTATCCCAAAATATTGCCAGACACAAAGTTGTGCAGTTTCATGGCATTTAATTAGTTATAATGCATGTGTGCTAACTAGTAACACTGAATACTTCAGTTACAACTCAGTAACTATAAAAAAAGAGATAAAAGGAATGCTAAAGGTAAGCTCACATTTTAGTCCTCTAAGTTTTGTAGCTCTTTATGACACTTATGTTACTGTACCAAACACGTTAGTTTTAATATTTTGTGTTTCCTCAAAGATGGGGCTAAAACATGCATTTCGAATTTCTAAGACTGTAACTACAGAACCAAACACCACCAGATATTATTTCCAAAGGAATATAAGGGGATACACCACTGAATTTTTAAGATTTGGTGCAACTTACTATGTCTGACATGTCAATAAAGGGGTATTTTTGAGTACATCACAGACTCGATAAAAATGAGGCGAATTTTTTTTTTTAAACACAACAAAAAGCAAGTAACAGTTCCCAAGGAAAGACGTTATTCACACACCTAAGGAAATGATCCTATGGGAGGACAGAATCTAGTGGGGAATGTTTTGATACGTGACTGTCAACACAACAGCTTGAGCCCTCTCAAAACTCTCCCAATACTTTCTAGAAAAGTCTGCTGAGAAACATTTCAGCTTTAAGAAAAACGTGAAAGAAACAAGAATCTACAGGGTACTATTTTTCAATATGAAATGAAGATTAACAAACATTCAGTGTGTGTTGAGCTCTGAATTACACATGCAATACCAACATACCATGAACAAATGATAATAATACCGATGTTAATTGTTTTTCTGCTTTGATCTAGTAAATGAGAAGTAAACACGTCATGTATCGATTTCAATCTTGCTGCCAGTCAGACTAAAGGAGACTTTTTAAAAATAAAAAAGGGCAAAAACTCTCCATACACATCTGGTTTCTCTAAATCATATTAACAAGAGCCTGACTTTCAAATTTCAAATTCTCTTCACCTCTCCCTGTGAGAAAGGCTTTTCTAACACCCTGCCTGTCTGGCTGCCAGTCACCAGCCACTTCTGCAATCGCTGACGAGCCGTCACCAACCCCAGAGAGGGCTGGAGTTTCTTGTAATAAAAACCAGCAGCCCAGAGACAGGGAGGTGGGAAGCTGCTGCCTGATATCCACTGAAGAGGGAAGGGCTGGAAGATGTCAGGAATCACCTCCTGCTCCAGGGGCTGTCAGTGCTGCACTGCCTGGCCTGTCCCTGCACATACAGCTCCAAACCAGCCACAGCAAAGGCAAAGCTTAAGGGGGATTAAGGGATATGGGATCCAAATGCACAACAAAACTATTCCTCATTAGTTCATCTGCTCGTGGAGTAACTTATTAAATCAAGCATGAACCAAGAGCTGGTTCTTTAGCCTTTGTTACAACACCATAAAGCACAAGCAACAACTGGTAACACCTAATATTCCTCCAACCTTGATAAGAATCAATTATTGGGAACATTTCAAACCCCTATCAGTTCAAATAATCTGTGATTTCATTTCCAAAATCCTAGTTAAAAAAATAATAATGGCTTCAAAACAAAGGATGTGGTTTCCCTTCATGGGAGAGTTCAGTCTGTCACAGCCTGAAGTAAAAGTTGCCCCCTCTGCTCCCCTCTCCTGCTGCTCTCTCTCCAGCAAGCTCCCAGCACTTGGTTACCCAAAGCTAATCCAGCAAAATCAATAATCCAAGTGAGCATTTTTTTTTCTAGTTTTGGTGCATTTATCAGTTTATCATACACTGAACAATCACAAGAGCCCTGGGGCAAGTGGGGAGCAGAAACCAAAATACAGCCCTCGGAGATATGGCACAATGAACAGCGTAGGGTAAAATCCTGCCAAGAGCACCACTGACATTCCAGCATTTAACATACAAATTAGGAAATTACAGCTGAGGGATTAAACTTTACACCTTACAGCAGGATTAGAATAATAAATACCAGTAGTTACTGTATAGTTAGTCTGGGGAAGGATTGGCAGAAGCTCATTTACTGTAAGACTGTGTCGAGTTCATTTGAGAAAAAATGAGAGGCAATTTTTTCTATTTGTTTTGACTTTCCACTTTGCTTCAGGGCATCTTTGTTTCAATGCAGTTCACAGCTCTATTTCTGAATGGACTGAAACAGATCTATCTGTCATGTACAACATGGGATGCATATTGAAACAAGGATCAACAGATGCTCCAAGGACAGTCTGTGTACAACACCAAAATCTGTGAATACACAGCACTAATTAGTCTGGACAGAATTCTGCATATTAGAGCTTCAGCCATGACTTGAGTACTCCTAGTAAGTATTAACAGATATTCTGATTCCATAATAAAGTTAAATACTCAAGATAAATACATAAAAAACTAGACTATATGACAACATGATGTGTGTCATCTTAAGCAAACATTCCAGTTTAGTTTCCACAGCTTCTTACGCAGCCATCACAGTGATAATGTGCATGCACAGTACAGTGCAAGTTTGTTAAAGACATTTTTCAAGCAAAACCTAATGTGCTGTGTCATTACCTAATCTCAGGGCTGGGAGGGGTTCTCTCAAGGTCTAGGAATGATCTGAAAAACATTTGTACAAACCAACTTTCTGTGTGGCTTGTGAACATTAAAATCCCAGCCTGAAAGAACAAAACTCAAATCCACAGTTAAGACAAAGCAATATATGACTGGACACCCCCGGCACCAACAGACAATTCACACCCTATGGTCTTTTTAAAGAACCTTTCTAACTCCTACTTAAAACTACTCAGGGTCCTAAAACTGCTCTTGTGCTAAATAAAGCTCCTGAATTGTCAGAAGTGTTGCCTATCTGCTTTCAAATGGGACCCGGGATCCTTCTTTATCACTGGCTATCTTGTTTATCTTTAAATGCAGGGCCAAAATCTCCAAGCATAATGATCAGGTGTTCTTTAACATTATTAAGTGTATTTTGGTCCTCTTTTGAGTACTTGTGAGAAATGTCCAGTCAGATACTTGCATTATTTTGAAGGAGATCTGATGTCATTCTCATATACACCTGGGTAACTCTCAGCTCCCTTCCTCTCCTCTGGTTCAGGGAAAAACCCAAACAGTAATTTACTGTGAAAGTCTGGTTTAAACTATACAGTGATGATCACATGGGAACTCCAACCTAACTGTCCATTCCTTGTACCTGTGGAGTAAGGCCAGGCAGGGAGGTGTATGGGTTGAGGCAGAGTAGATGTGTGAATGCTGCAGCTTTAAAATGGGAACTCTGTAATGTATTTTTACATCAAGAGTCACACTTTTATCAAAAGAGGAAAAAAAAAAAAAAGGGATTCTCCAGAAAAACAGCTGAGCCAGACAGAAACAAGAGTCAGACGGAACACAGAACAGAGGAGTCTTCAGGCTGCAACTGCCAGAAATTGCTCTTTGCTGAACACTATGAGTTATTTATTCACCAGCATTCAAGTTCCTCCCCACATTTTCACAGCTACATCCTACAGTGTTTCAGCAAGACACCAAGACTGTGTGGCAGCACAGTCAAGGAGGAATAAGCATGTCCACTGCAATTAGCTGAAGCTCAATGCAGTATTTTCCAAACCTCTCACAGATGTCATTCAATAAAGCAGTTTAAAAACCAACCTGCCTACTAAATGCATATATACCTGCTAAGCAAGTTTTAATGATTATATTTAAAGGGAGGTTGCAGTAAATCTAGGAAAGTGTCACAACCTTTAAGTTTGGGGAAAAAAAAAAGATCTTGATTTCTTACCATCATGAAAAACTTACCTGTGGATTTAATACCACATGAAACTGTTTCATTGTATGGGGGGAGCTGTACAAAAAAAAAATGAAACTTATTTAAAGGCAAAGCAAATCCATAAACATTTGATATCAGTTTCATTTGAAATATCCGAATCCTTTCAAAATAACATCATTATTTGATTTTCAGAGAGTATGTCTTGAACTTATGCTTCTATATTTATCAAATCCCACTCTGCAGCTCCAGGCTCCTTGCAGATTACCACAATTACTGAAAGATAAAGATTATCTTGGTTACACACCACAGGCTCATCAACCTCTCCAGCAATTCACCTCACAGCATCAGGACCTTTCTTCATCAACACTAACTCCCCACGCTTTTAGGATGAGGAACATACCCTCTGTTTAGACAAAAAATGGACACCAAATCACCTGTGAAAGGTGAAACATTTTTGCACAGACAACAATCACACCTAAACCTTTTGACTCTCAGCCTGGTTCAGCTGTAGTGTGGCTCTCGAAATGTTTCAGCTGAGGTATATTCTTAAACACATTTACCACCTTGATATAATGTAACCACAGTGCATGGTTTTTACATGGACTGTAAATACAAGTACTATAAAACAGTGGCATCAACACTCAGTGCTTGACAGGACCCTTGCTGTGGTGGGTAATTTCTCATCCCCCCTCACCTGCCCCTAAACTCCCTGAGCAGCTGAGAGCCTTCTCCTGTGCCTGCAGGACCTGGCAGCCACGGCTACCCTGCATTCCAGTGGCTCCCTGGAGAACAGCGGGACTGGTTCTGCAGTGGGAGATAAAACATTGAGTGCACAGTGCAGCTTGACAGTGCTATTCTAAATAGTGACTCTAATGGTGCAACAAAGAAAAGAGTTTTCTATTCAAGTTTTCAATTCTCTAAAGCTATAGATACTTACATATTGCCTTCTTAATGCACTGCAGACAGCAGTGCATCACAGGTGGCAAGGAAAATATTCCTAAAATGCCATTACAAAAAGTGCATAAAAAGAACACATGCTGTAAATCCACTTATAAACCACAATACATCTTAATATAGCATCTTTTCAGGTCAAAAATGAGAAACAGTGGGTCAGAAAGAGGCTCCAGACTGTTTAGAGCCTACTATCCATATTAATTTTGAACACGGGTTCAATAAGACTTTATAGTTAAGAGCTAAAAAAATTCCTCTAAATGCCTACAGCAAACAGCTTGTGATAAACTTTGTATTTCAAGGATTCAAAGGCCTTCAGAAAATATGAAGTTTTAAAAAAAAAAAAGAAGAAGTCAGCCTCTTGATCTCCTACACATCTGATCAATCGACAGCACCTTTGGAAAGAAGAGATTTCTGAGCTGACTTGTTCCAACTGGGCCACCAGAACCATCTCAGTCAACAGGTGTCTGACAGGACATGTATTACAAAGGTCACCTGTAAAAGGGACATTCCAGACACCCTTTAGCTTTAAGTAGTCCCTTGGCTCAGTCCCCCTTCAGTGTGTAGGTGAAGGACCTGCAGCACGATGTGTGTCAAACACACGGCACCACCGTCAGCTCTGTCCTGCCCTTCTGGAATTGCATCGTCTTTTTCAGACCAATTTTCTCTGAAATATCTGCACAGTGTAAAACTAATAAGCACCGCTTTTATTTCATCATCCAGATAATTAAAACATCGAACTGAACCAGATCAAGGGCAAACTTAAGGACCATTTATTTTGACAGCTAACTAGGTACACCTGAGACAGTCAGAAAATGAAGTGAGACTGGTTCTAAGGCTGTAGGTTCATTTTTCCTCGACAGACTTTGGGAACAGCTTTACAGAAGTCCAAATATGACATTTTTATCTTTCCCAGTGTCAGAAGAGCTGATGGGGGGCACTTAAGGTGATGCTGCATGGGATGCAAATGTCACTGCTGAGATTGCATTTATGGTGGGGAAACAGCAAATCATCAGAACTACCACGTATTCCCTAAAGATCTTCCTGCACTGCTTCCCACCTACCAGAGAAGGTACAAAGCTCTCCCAAGAGGCAAGTAAAAACTATCTTTTTCTTTCTTAACTTCCCTCACTCCCACCCCACCCCATTCCCCTCATGCCCTTTTATTGTTTAGCAGTATTATACTAATTATCCTCGGAAAATTAAGCTACAGGAAACTAAGTCCCATTAACAATGGTCTGTAAACTGTGACAAAAGGATTTCCCCCATCTACAGCTCAAGTGTTCATTTCCTTTATGTTGAGAGGGGAGGATGGAAGCATGACCAAAATGCTGGAATGGAAATGTCTGGAGGAAATACATGGAAACTGAACTAGAGGGAAATCATTTCTTGAGTCTGGAGATTAGGACAAGGGGATAATACTCTTCCCTATGAAGGAAAATGGTTTCATCATTCTCTACCAAGAACTACAGAGAATAAGAGCCTCCAATAAGAGTGTGTAATGAACTCGAACACAAAGACAACTGTTTCTACTCTGTGGTTCTCACTGACACTGTAATTAGTTCATTATTGCTGCATTTCTCAGACCTCACACACAGCTTTCCCTTTAAGCACAGCACTGAGGGTCAGCAGTGCTCCACCTGTCCAAAAACATAAAGAATCCCTGTGTTTCAAAAGGCTCACCAGACTGAGAAGCCCAACTAATTACCAAGAACACTGCTGAGAAGTTTTCTCCATACCCACCCCTTAAAAAAAACCCACCAAAGCTGAGGTAACAGGGTTGGAAAACCCCCTGTCATCGTCCTATCACCAGTTCAGATACTCCAGCTCTGAAAGCAGAAGGTGGAATAACTAATTTATCTCTAAAAATTGACTTAACATCCACATACATGGAAAGAAGACAACTGATCAGTATCTCCCCTTTGTAAGTTAGCAAGCTAAGGGAATGATAAATTAATTGTATTGTTATATTTCAAATTCACACAAAGAGATGTAGCTTTAAAATGTTATTTCTAGAAGAAGTTTAAAGCAGATCTTACCTCAACAGAGCATCGTGGAGTCACAAAGAACTGATTAAATTCATCAGGGCTGAATTCCCCAAAAATATACTAAAAATAAAAGAGAAGGATCTTTGTTAAAGAAGGATTTACATTAAATACAATTAATAAATTCATAATGAAATCTATTAGGATACTACAACTCAAAAAGATCTGTGTGTTGGGAGTCAGAAACTCTGTTTACATCCCAACCCTCATCTTAGTTCCTTCCCAAGTCTTTAGCAAAGTACAGCAAGTAAAAACCACAGTTTTCTTACACAAAAAGTGATTTATACACATGCACTTTTATGTGTTTGACCGTTTTAGTGTTTTCAAAAAAATATTAATATAATCTGGTTTAAACTGCAAACAATTCCAACAGTCAAAACAACCTGGAACATCTGTGATACAAAGAGTGAAGTACAGTTAAACATTTAATGCTTTAAAAACTTCCCACAGCCAAGTGCCAACCACCAAGTGAGACAGTCCAACCCCCAAACCCAACACATCCCTAAATTGTACCCGAGTGCCTTCACGGTTCTTGGCACAGGATTTAAGCTTGATTTACACCCTTAATATAACCAAGCCATTTTTATTCAGCAACATAGGAGCTAGAATTTATCCTATTGCAACTACACACCTAAGAAAAACACTTGCTGAATCATCACTGTGTTTCAGGAGGTATTTTTGATGCAGTCATGCAACAGAAGAAAACAATCTCAACTGTAAACTATTAAAAGTTATATAAATCCAACTCTAATTCCTCCATGTAATAAGACTAAATTTATCAAGATTTTTAAGCAAGGTATCACAGGCCCGGTACTTCTTTCTGAGCAGAAGAAAATGCTTCTTTTTTAATTAGGGAACGAGACAAAAATTGAACCAGGTGGTCATTAATGCAACCTTAGTGGTTGCAACCTTAATGGAACTGCTTTAATGGTGTATTCACACCAAGAAATGTTGTGGCTGTTTCTGCCAGGACTTTACAAATTTACCAACATCTAACCCAAAAACTAGTCCTAGTCACACTATAGTGCAAAAGACCCATCCCACTTGGGCCTGAAGAAATCCGTAATTTTATCTGATTTATTTAACAATGCTTTATACAAGCAAACACAAAGTAAACCAAGGAGAAGATCTCCATCAAGTAAACTCAGTAAAATCTTATTTCAAAAGAAACTTAAGTCCACAGGACTGATGCCACTAAACCTACCCAGTTTAACCAACCTCCCTGTCCTCTGTCTCATCTCTCAAGAAATTATTTCTGCAAACACAACAGAATTTTCTACCCTTTTTAAGACACACTGAAGTGAAAAAGAACCGTGACAGCACATCACTTGGCAAGTATAACAATCTCTACCCAAAAAAAGGATCCAGAGGGGGAAAAGCCAATGTATTTTAAGCAATTTGAAAGTATAGCTCCCTGCCTGCTGTCCATCCATCCATCCTCCATCCCAAGGAATCAGTGGGCCTGGTCTCTACAAATCAGCTATGTAAGAAAATACTTGGCTTGGCTCTAAACAGTATCAGAAAGACCTCACTGCAGTACTTGCCCTGCACCATTAATTCAAATTTAAAGGTTTTGCTGCACATGAAACACCTAAGTAGGAAACAATTTTAACCAAGAGCACTAGAATTTTATAAAAGCAACACACCCTTACAAGACAATCTCATTATAAGCATGAGCTTTTGGGGTCCTACCTTGTACTCCTGAAATTATTCCACCTAACCTCAAAAGCTTTAAAATTAGCTTTACTCCCAAACAAACAAAATCTAATACTTGGAACAATCAAAGACTTAATTAAATTATTTACACAACTTACACAAGCTACTCACCATCAGCATTAATTCACACCCCACTCTACAAATAACATTTCAACACAGAGATACATCAGCACCCATTAAAACTTTGCCAAACCCGTTTCAGATTATTTCAACTGCAATTTTAATATATTTTCAAGTGTGCATTTGCCTAAGAAACAAACACACCCATTAGCACTGCATCAAATTGATGCCTTTAAATGCCCAACTAACCTGCCCTGCGCTGTATCAATCCATAAACCTTGATGGGATGCTGCTTCGAGGTCCTAATCACGGGTCACAGATGGACTCCACAAGCTCCGAGGAAAAAGTGGGATCAGACACAGGCTGCTCAGGTGCAGGTGAGAGCTTGTGCTCAGGGATAAGCTGCTTGTTGTGGGCCATCCCTGGCGTGCCAGGGCAGCAGCAGCCTTCCCCTCACCCCCACAGCTGCCCAGGAGCCAAGGACACACCGCGCACGTGGGCACAGCTCAGTTGGCCCAGGCAGCAACACCCAGGCCTGTCCCCATCAATAAGGCAGAAACTCCAGTAGGTCTGGCAACATACAACCCAAAATTATTAAAAACCATTACCAGTGAAGAGCTGAGGTTTAACTAAGAGCTCTACCCAAATTTGGTTTTGAGATAAAATTAAAAAATCAAGCTTTCTCCAGGCAAAAAAATACTGTTTGGCATTCAATTGCTTATCGCAAAGATTGATTTGGATTTATAGCCTGAGACAAAAACACAGCTGCTTGAAAAGCATGTTAAACAGTAGTCAATGGTGCCAGTGTTCACTCACACAGGAGAGCAGGAACAAAGCTCAGGAGATCCAGTTTCACACCAAGACTAGGTCTGGAAGAGAAACTCCAAGAGAATATTGGGGGAAAGTTTTGAAAATTCCCAATTGTAACACTACCCCCAGACTTACTTTTAAAGATACATTATCCCTAAGAGGCTTAGTTCAGTCAAACCTGACCTCCCTCTCCTTCCCAATCCATCTGCACAACCCATATAAAAGCTTTTCTGTTCTGGCTGCTGGAAGGAATCCTCTCTCTCTTTTTTGGGAGCACGTATTTCACGCTGCATTTCTCCTGCTCCTCCCCAGATGATTTAACTCTGCAGAGCAAACACTGACCTTGCACTGAGTGTGCTCAAGGGTCCCTTAAGATACCTGGTGAGCTCCATTTCTGCCACAGATTAGGAGCAATAGCAAAACAGTATCACACAAATCTCAATGATTTTCCACTTGCAGCTGTATAAGAAGACCAGGTGGAAAATAATAACTTCCTCTGGGGGGGATGCAGGAGTGTGTGGAAGGAATGAGGCTTTGTGGAATTCCTGGAGCAGGGGATACATGGGACAACAACTCTACCTTTGCTCCCTTTCCACTTTCTGGGCAGTGTTACCAAACTTCTCCTTTGGGGTGAAAAAACAAAAGAGCAAACCCCAAACACACTGATGGATCTATTTAATTTTGCCATTCCCAGCTATGACCCAATTTGACCATTTACCAGAGATGGACAATATATTAGTAAACATAATAAAATTACCATGATTTAACTCAAGTGAGTGAACACACACCAACACAATCAAATGCTTTCCTTACACTGCACCATCAAAAAATTATGTTTTTCCATCTGGGATCTTCCATATTGAGGTTTAACAATCAATCAGTTAAAAAAGACAATTATTCACAAGGGTTGGTTTCCACCTTGTTTTTTTGAATGCTGGTTTCCACATACACAAGTTCTGTACTTCTGGAGTTTTCAAATGTCAATGTCTTCTTGCAGATGTCACATCTATGACACCAAGGATGAAATAAAACTAAACAATGCTTGAATAAACCTTAAGACTGAGATGATATTAGGTGGGATGGTAGGTGACATATCCAAATCTCTCCTTTCAGATACAGACACTACAACAGCCAGTACATAAATGAAAAAATATTTTTTAAAAATGAATGTGAAATAAAGTGTACTTTCTGCCATACTAAAATGGTATCTCTTCACATGAAGCTGCAGGTGACTTGGGTGCTCCAGTACTTCAGATTTAATTTATTTGCCTTACTTTCTCTGATTGAGATTTTGCAATTAAAGTTTGGGCACTGAATTCAAAACATTCTCATACAGCTTTTGGGAGTACAAAAAAAGAAAAGTACAACTACACTTATGAAAATAATTGAAAGAAGCAGACAGAATTGTAGCTCTGCACTGCTTCCTGTGTGGCCGGAGAGAGGACATCAAAAAACCTGGATCTTTGCTTTCTTCTTGATGAAGCTAAAATTGTAACACTAGAATATTCTACAAATACTCTACAGATGGAATTTTCTTTTTTAAGTATAACACGTTTGCAATATATTTTTTCTATAATAAAGTTAAAACTATTGAATGAATGAGACTATTAAAGTTGGTACAGTGTTTCCAACTGACCACTGAGCTGCTGTCACCAATTTCCACGTTCAGCCTGACATGCTGCAAGGACTCAAGCTTCCCTGTATCCAGTACCTGCCTCCCAACATCAGTTCTCTTTAAAAAGCCACTCATGTTAGAGCAACATCCCAAATCCTGCTGATTGTCAGTCACTGGTGTTTCCAGTCACAACAGAACTGGAATCAGTTTCTAACTTAATCTCTATAATACGATTACAAGTGTAACATCCAGCTGCACTCCAGCAGAGTCTACACCACTTGGAACAAATTATTTCATCAATGCCATCACCTTTATATCTTCATGATATTAACTGTAGATAGATTATAATATAAATTGCACAAAATAAATTAACCAAACAAATCCACACAATAGATTCTGTTTTCTACCACACAGGAATTAAAGTAAAAGCACTTCTATATTTGTGCAATAACTGATCACCATAACTGACCAAGCAGCATCTTAACTACGCAGACAAAAGCTGCAACAGCACAAGTAATTCCAAGGAGGGGCAGGAAAAGACCCCAAAGGATTAAAATGCCCGACCTGCAAGCTCTCCCCATATTGACTGTTTTTTGCTGTGGTCTCCTTAGCCACTTGAAAAAAGGAGTGCTAATGTTACCCTACTGCCTGTAATGAAATCTCCACTGCTGTTCCAGTCTAGCAATAGGAACGCTGTCCTGGAGGAATAAAAGGAGGGTGAGTACGTGTTCCACAGCTGCTTGTCCTAGAAAAATGGGTAGAAATAGCACTGCTGATGCATCATCCTCCTGGTATCACCTGTGCTGCAGGAACGATAGGAAAATGAAGTGTCAACTTGTGCTTTCAAGAAGCATTAACGCGG